CAAGCAATCCTCCAGCTTTGGCCTCCTGAGTAGCTAGGGTTACAGGTGTGAGCCACGGTGTGCAATCCCCTTACCTTTCACCTCAGCTACCATGTTTCCCAACTGTGGCTCAGTGCTGTACCTGGACTCCCCACATGTGCCTCAGACAAAGCTCTTGGTTTTCACCCCCACACTTCCGCCCCCATTGTTCACCATCTCACTCGCTCCTGTCTTTCCTTTGTCTCGTTCACTCAGCTGTCAGCGAGCCCTGCCATCCCTTCCTGAGACTGATCCCAGTGCCCCCCTTCTCCCTACTTGGAGCTTGCTGCAGTCACCACCCCCCTTGCCAGGGTCACTTGTAGCTGCCTGCCTTGTCTCCCCACTTCAGTCTTCCCCTCTTTCAGTTTATTTTCTGCACAGCAACCAGACTTTTCCTTTTTTCTTTCCTTCTTTTTAGGAAAATAAGGACATGGGATTTTTTTCCCCCTAAAATATAAATTATACCATTGTTTCTCTGTTCAGTATCTTCAGTCAGGTTCCCTACACCTTTATTTTCCTTAACACCTTTCACTGTCCCTGATTATATGTATCAGTTTACTTGGTCATTATTCCTGTCCCCAACTAGAATGCAACTTGGTAGGGACTTGTATGTTGAAATAGTATTTTGTTAGTTAAAAAGTGTTCAGTATTTGTTGAATGAATAACTGATTATAAAGTATGAACAGGGAGGTTATTTCTTGGTTCTGGTTGACATGAAAGGTTTTAAGGCCTGTATGTAAGACATTTGAGAGGAAAATGGACAGAGAAGAAATGAGTTTGGAAGGCCCCATCAGTGGTGACAGTCATGCTTGTTCCTCGTGTCCACCACAGGTTTGTGCCATGTGACTTCTTGGCTCTCCGAGGTCATTTCTCTCTTAGTTTCCCCAGTCATTTCCCACAGGGACATGGGGGCCCTTCTAGAAGATTTGTGCTCTGAGGTTCCCATCACTTGCTCCCAGGGATGGTCCCATCTCCTACTTGACAGAGGAAGTACCAGGTAACTCCCTGCATGCATCTTAGGATCCCTCTTGTCCTCATACCAGTGTCTGCAGATGACATATCCTAACCGTAAACTGGATAAGTTGAACGACCTGAGAATCCTCACCTCTGTAGAAGGGGGAGGGTAACGCCACCCACTGTGGCAGCGTGTCCCTTTTCCATCTCTGTTCTGCAGGCTCTTGCTTTCCAGTTCCTCAGATGAGGTGGAGGGAAGGGGCAGCTTCTCCCGTTACCCTCACTTCTGTGTAGTCACAGTCAGGACACGTACCATAAATAGGTGTACCAAGAAAAAGTTTTTAAGCATTTACCTAATTTATCTTCAGTCTCCATTTTTTTTTCGGTGTAACTGTCTCACCTGTGCCTTCCCTCACCCTTGCTGCCTGGGCTCCACCTTCCCTTGCCTCTCCACTACCTCTGCAGGAGTGGGCCCCCACTTCTCCATCGGCACCTGTGCTTTGGGGCACCCCCATCTTGACCTGCTCCCTTAATTTTCTCTGATGATTCCCTGTTTTTTTTGGTTTTTTGTTTTTTTTTTTTTTGAGACAGAGTCTCACTTGTTGCCCAGGCTAGAGTGAGTGCCGTGGCGTCAGAGCTCACAGCAACCTGAAACTCCTGGGGCCAGCAATCCTTCTGCCTCAGCCTCCTGAGTAGCTGGGACTGCAGGCATGCGCCACCATGCCCAGCTCATTTTTTCTATATATATTAGTTGGCCAATTAATTTCTTTCTATTTATAGTAGAGACAGGGTCTCGCTCTTGCTCAGGCTGGTTTTGAACTCCTGACCTCGAGCAATCCGCCCGCCTCGGCCTCCCAGAGTGCTAGGATTACAGGCGTGAGCCACTGCGCCCGGCATGATTCCCTGTTCTTTCTCAGGCCCACCTCTTGCCCCCTGTTTGCCACTCTGCCCCCCCCCCCCAGTTTGTTTCCTTCTAGAATTTTTGGGATGAATCCTACATCTCCAGCTGCAGTGTGCAGCTGCCTCCTGCCTTGCACTGGCTCACCAAGCCAGCTGTCCTGAATGGCAGCTCCTTGGCTCATCCCACACTGGTTTCTTGGGTCTTCTGGATTATTCTAGGCTTCTTTCCTCCTTCCCACACCCTCAGTCCTTCTCAGTCCCTCCCTGTCTTCCTGCCCCCTAGTGTGGGTCCCCCTAAGTTCCTCTCATGAACCATTATCTCTGTACACCCTGGAGTCTAGATGATGGTGTGTCATGCATTGGTATAAAGCATCTTGGTTCCCACTGCTTCCTGAAGGGGGGGGAGCAGACTCCTCACTGCTGTGCATACCTCCATGGCCTGGCCCGGCCGCCTTCCCATGCTGTTCCGTGACTGCAGGCAGCCTTTGCCTTCAGTCATTCCATGGCGTTCTTAGCATGTGCTGCCTGGGTGTGCCCCAGCCCCGCCTCTAGAAACATCAGCTCATCTCTGTGCCTGTCCTTCCTGGCATGCCCTGGGCAGCTCTTGGGCCTCTCTGCACTTGGCTTGGTGGGTTGGTCTCTTGAAGGGCAAGGCTCATTTATGCCCCTGTTGAACAGACGTGGGCTGTGCCTGCAGGTGCTTGGCAGGTGGCTGATGCACACAGGGCAAGCAGCCCTTGGCGCGAGTTATGCTGGATGCAGTTTGATCCCCACTGCCAGGCGGGGGTGTGGTTGTGTGTGGGGCAGGTTCCCATTGTTCTCAGGGCCTCTCGCCCTTGGGGCTGTGGGGGGTCCAGTTCCTCCGCAGCCAAGGATGGAGGCCGAGATGAACCCCAGAGGATCACTGTCAGGACTGCCGTGAGCTGGGCAGCCTTGTTTTCCTGCCTCACACATTCCCAGTTACTGGGAGGCCCCACTTGGTTGACACAAAGCATGCTGACCCCAAGACCACACTGGGGCCTTCAGTGGCATTACTGGGCACAGGGCCTGTGGTTTTCCTTGGGCACTGCCAGGCTCTTGTCAGGTGATCTTGGCCTGGGTTGCCACCAGTGTAGTGTCTGGCGACCTGTCTGTCCCACGGATGGGATGTTTGCATGCCCAGCAAGCTAGTGGTCGGTCATCTGCCACCAAGATGCCAGTGAGGGAGTGGCTCCTCACCTATAGCCCTCTTGCCGCCACTTCTTTGGCCCCAGCGTTTGTTATCAGGAAGGCGAGTGTCCAGAGTGGGTCCTGTCGTTGTGGAATGAAAGGTGAAGCCTTTGAAGGGAGGTTACCTAAGGCCATCTAACTCAGAGGGAAGCTCGCCATTTTCCCCTACCTAAGTTAGCATATGTGCCAGCCGCGAAGCCCCATCCACCAGCTCACAGCTGTGTCTCTGGCCCCAGGGTCCGGCTCAGCATGGCGAGGCGGGCAGTGGCGAGGAAGAGCCGAGAGTGGGTGCTGGAGAAGAAGGAGCGGCGCCGGCGGCAGGGCAAGTGAGTACCCGGTTTGGGCTGGGAACCAGGTGGGTGGTGCATGGGAGGGTAGAGGGCATACTTCTCTTGTCACTAAGGGCTTATTTGCATTTGAAGGGGTCCCAGGGCTGCTTTGTTTTTTCTGAGACTCTCCTGTTTCTTTGCACAGGGCAGTCAGACCTGACACTCAGTACACCGGCCGCAAGCGCAAGCCACGCTTCTAAGCAGTGGCCATATCCCAGTGGGACAGCTGTGGGGCCACACGGTCATGTGCTGTGTGGTCCAGCCTGGCCCTTGCCTCTGGAAAGTTGTCAATATTGGAATACTTCCTTCATTAGCTGACAAAATATGTTAGAAAAGTTTCAAAGTTCTGAAAATATTTTCTTCACTAAAAAAAGTTCTCTGTTCTGGCTGGGCGCGGTGGCTCACGCTTGTAATCCTAGCACTCTGGGAGGCCGAGGTGGGCGGATTGCTCAAGGTCAGGAGTTCAAAACCAGCCTGAGCGAGACCCCGTCTCTACTATAAAAAAATAGAAAGAAATTAATTGGCCAACTAATATATATATATATAAAAAAAAAATTAGCCGGGCATGGTGGCTCATGCCTGTAGTCCCAGCTACTCGGGAGGCTGAGGCAGGAGGATTGCTTGAGCCCAGGAGTTTGAGGTTGCTGTGAGCTAGGCTGACGCCACGGCACTCACTCTAGCCTAGGCAAGAAAGCGAGACTCTGTCTCAAAAAAAAAAGTTCTCTGTTCATGCCCACCCAGGGGTGTAAAAAAAAGAAAAAAAAGTTCTTTGAGAGCATCTTATTTTGTTTTAAAAGCAATAAATCTGTTTTTGTGCAATTGTGGCTCTGGCATCTCCTAGCTCTGTGATCCTCATCAGATGTTGGTGGGTGCTACTACTTAACTCCCCAGGCAGGAACTAGATTTAATTAACTAATCATTCCTTTAATCTGCAAGGAACACAGTAGAATCCTTTGGTTCAGGGCACATTACATATAACCACATGGTAACACTAGGCAGAGTTGGGCCAGGTGAGATGAAGTGTATTCGTGGTCCCACTGGCCTGTGGCTTCTGCCCTGGTTTCCCTTTGGTTTGAAGGCCTTCCCAGCCCAGTGACCAGCTGAACCAGGCTGCATGGTCAGCTCCTGAGCAGCACAGCGTTTGGATGCCTCAGGCCAGTCTCTGGTCCAATTGCTAATGGCCTACAGCTGGTCCTGCTGTGTGGTTTATAGGAGGCTGTCTACTTGGCTGATAAGAGATGATCTAGTGGTGACTTGAGACTTGGGGACCAAGTGGGAAGAGGGACAAGATGTAGGCATGGCGGTACAGAGACCTCTGGGAGGGGGTGTGAACCCTACAGGGGAGTCTCCCCTAAATACCAGATTCCAGGCCTCTGCAGTGGGGATTCTCGTCTTATCATCATAGGAAAGGCTGGATGTTATCCACTGAATGGCTGGAGATGGGCCTGAGGAAGTTGAAGGTGGCCTTTGGTGGGATGGATGTTGGCATCCTTTGCCAGTGAGCCTTTCTCTTGTGGCACCACATACATTCATCCCCAAGTCCTAAGGCTGTGACACTGTAAGGGAAAGAAATCTAGAGCAGAGGCCTGGTACAGATACAAATGTTTATTCTACATAAAAATTTCACAAAATGGGCAGCTGGTTGTACCAAGACCTTTGGTGAAGGGATGGGACGGAGTCGCTTTGAAGAAGGCAACACGGACAGTGGTCACAGTCACTGGGCAGGAGCAAAGCGGAGGGCAGACGGGGCACCCAGACATGGCCCCATCCCCTACTGCATGCACTCGCATGCACACTCCTTGCCTGTTGACGAGGGAGAGTGGTCTTGGGGCGGGGGCACGTTTCTGACAAGCCCCAAGATGGCAGGGAGGGGGAGGCGGCCCTCCCTGGCTGGCTGCTGAATACTGCGTCCGAGACACTGACACCCATGTGGCACATCAATGGGGGACAGAAGGGCAGGTGGAGATTGCAGGCCTGATGTGATATCTGATTTCCTGGAGCACAGAAGAGCAGGGACTGCTGTCCCAAACATGCAACACTGGCTTGAGGACTGGACTGAGGCCTGCTCTGCCTCGAGGTGCAGGGGTGGCTGGGACTGGGCACCAGCCAGCCTCTTCCAGAGGGTCTCCTGGGGTTGGGCTAGCCCAGAGGGGTTGCTCCTGGGGCTGCAGGAATGTGGGAAGGGAAGTTGAGGAAGGCCTGTTGAACTTTGCCCCTGTGCAGGGGAGGGAGCCCAGTCTTGACATGGCCAGAAGCCACAGCACCCTGAGCCTCCCTGGCAGTGATCAGCTATTAGAGGCTTGGAGCTGGGCTATCACTCAAGGCCACCCCTCCCCTAACCTGAAAAGCAGCACCATGTGGCCAGCTGTTCCCCACCCCTTGGGGCTCGGCTTGTGGGGACAGCTGAAGAGGCCAGAGGACAGGGCAGGTGGGCAGGTCAGCTGGATGCAAGGTTGGGGTCTAGAAAGACCCTTGATCCTGGGAAAGGGCAGCCCCCAGGCCTGAGTGGCATTACTGGAGGAAAGGAGGGGTAGCGTGTGCCACCCTGGGCAGCCCTGTCTGGTAAAGGGAGGTGGCCAGGGCCCACTGGCTATTTCCCTCTGCCTCTTCTGTACAGACGACACTGTCACAAAGATCATGCACACGACACGGCTCAGGGCAGGGTGGGACTGGAGGGCCCATGGCAGAGAATGGCGCAGTATGGGGTGGGAGGGAGAGTGCTCCGAGCCAGAGGCAGGGGTGGGGAGGGCAACCCAGCCAGGCAGCAGCAGCCAGGGGCCTCCTTGGGGTGGCCTTCCGGAGTGGAGTGGCAGGTTAGGGGCTTCTATCCGAAGATGCCGCCAAAGGTGGAGGCGATGACAATGCCCAGAATCACACAGCAGATGATGATCATGATTTTCTTCTGCAGGGGAGCAGGCAGGAGGGCCTCAGACAGGGTGGGGGATAGGGAGGGATGAACCCTGAGTCTGGGGATCTAAGGGGGGAAAGTGACAGCCTGGGGAAGGGGACTGCAGGATGGCTGGCCCTAATAGGTGCTGGGATGTGTCAGGCACAGTGGGGGCTACTGACCCGGCGTGCCTTGCTCTGGTACTTGACAGCCTTCTTGGTGTCAGACACGGCCCTCTCCACATAGTCCACCGCGTGCTCCACGTTGTACTCGATCCTGTCAATCATCTCCCCCTGCAGGGCCGGGGGCACCCGAGCTCCAGAGGGCCCCCTCATCAGGGTCAGGAGGGGTCTCGGGGCAGGACTTCAGGAAAGCACCCTGAGTGAGGCTAGAGGGAAAGAAGGGGGTGTGAGAAGGGTGGGTAGAGCCAGGCCCCTGGGGGAGACAGGGCATCAATGGGCACAGCAGGCTCCAGGGCAGATCCCACCTCTCCCCGCAGAGCAGCCATTCTGAGAGTGGAAGTGGCCATGCAGTCTCAGCCAAGGCTTGGGGACCATGCAGAGAACACTCAGCTGGGGCCCTGACCCCTGTGCCGATGCCAGAGAGGACAGAGCTAGGCTCAGGCACAGGAAAGCAGGGACAGGGGTGGGCAGGCTGGCCTCTGGGCCTGCCCTGGCCATAGCTTCCAGGGGAGTCCCCACTCCATCCTCAGGCATCATGGTTCCATCCAGCTCTGACTGACCCCCCCCTTCCCAGCCCCACGCCCCTCTTGGACCCTGTAATCTGGCCCCATGCTGCCCCCAGAGGCCAATGTGACTGTGAATGTCCCAAAAGACTCCCAAGGCATGTCTCCCTCTCCAAGCCCATCGCCTTCACTGGTGTCTACATCACCATGGTCTCTCACCAGGATGGCAGTAGCAGCTTCCTCGTGGCCTCTCTGCTTCTTAAGGACATGTCACTCCTATACTTAACAGCCCCCAGTCTAGAAGAGACTCCACATGTCCCAGCACTGCCTGCTAAGGCCCTGTCCACCAAGTCTGCAGCTTCATCTCAGCTCTGACTGCTGCCTGTGCCCCAGCCCCACGGGCCTCCTTTCTGCTCCTCAAATAAGTCCAGCTCTTGCCAGGCGCAGGACCTTGGTCTTGCTGTCCCTCTGCCTGGGGCCAGCTCTCAGTCTTCCTTGGGACACCTTCACGACTGGCTCCTTTTCTGGAATCAGCTCGAATGTTCCCGTCTCAGAAAGGGCTTCATTGACCACTACCTTCCAAAGTGGCCACCTCCATCATTCTATCAGTGTAACTGCAAGTGGTCCTCAGACCAGCAGCGTTGGCATCACCCTTGAGCTTGTCAGATGCACACCCATGGGCCCCACCTCGACCTGTCAGTCTCTGGGAATGGGGACCCAGAAACTTACAAGTCCTCCAGGTGATTCCTAGGCAGTTTCAATATTAAGCACCACTGTCCTATCACATTGCCTCCTTTTAATGCCTCCTGAGCACCTGGTACCACTGGAGAACATTCCATGTGTTCTTACACAGCCTTTTCACCTAATATCCATTTGCTCCAAGGAAGCAGGCCCCTCAGCTGTCCTGGTCACTGCTACACCTCCAGCTTCTAGGAAAGCAATGGGTCTACGTGGCCCCATGCTAGACAGTGAATGAGCCAGAGCAGGGCTGGGTGGAGATTGGTGAGACCATGCAGGGTCTGGGGTCCCAGAGGGCCAAGCAGAGCCATGCAGAGAAGAAGAGGGTCCTTCAGGCGGGCAGGGCCCTGGCAGCAATTTCAACAGCAGGTGGTTGTTTACCTGAGGACTTGGTCCCTCCCAGACAGGGCAGCATGTCAGGCAGAAAGGGGAGGGGTTAGTGCAGCCCTGCGTGCTGCTGTGGACTGGGGCTGTGGCGACCCGGCACTCACCTGACTCTCAACAAGCATGGCCATGTCCATGAACATGTCATGCAGCTCCCGGATGCTGTTCTCCAGCTTGATGATCTCGCTGTGCCGCGTCTCAATCTCACTCAGAGCCTGCTTCGAGATGCTGGAATCCATGATGATCTAGGGAGTGGGAGCGCACACAGAGCTGAGGGGTGGGTGGGCCGAGCGGGAGGGCCGCTGGGACAGGCAGAGTTGCTCCGGAAGGGGCCTATGGCTTCCTCCCTAGCCACAGCTGTACCCACCTCACTGCTTCGCTTTACCACCTGTTAGCTGTTACCTAATTTCTCTGTGACCCAATTTCCTACCCATAATGTGGGGCTAATAACACTCCCCACTTGTGCTCACTACATAGTAAATGCTCAGTAAGTAACAGCTCTTATCACCAGCATTTTGCAGAGCCCAGGTTGACTGCCCCATAGACTGAGGCCTGGAACTGCCTTTCTCCCCTCCCATCTCCTCCTGGAACCCACACCCCCAGCTGCCTCCCAGACCTGTGTGCCACCTCCCAGGAAGCACCTGCTTCATGGCATAACACAGAGCTTCACTTGAAAGTAAAGACAGCCAAATGTCCCCTAGGAGAAGAAAAAGGTCCCAAGGGTGATGGGAGGGGCCCCTGGCCATTGGCAAGTAGTCAAGGGCAGCAAGGAAGTGGATCCACATGGGAGGCACCAAGAGATGGGGTCCTGATTCTGCATTTGCCACTAACATTTATGTTACCTCAGCCTGGTCCTGTCCCCTCTCTGGGATTTGGCCTTCTTTCCTCTAAAACCTACCTTACAAGGTGGCTGTGTCCAAATACTGTCCAAACAAACACTGCACACACACTAGGGGTCATGGAAAGTCACACTCACCCCAGAGGCAAAGATGGCAGGGTTCCCACTCTCCAGCATGTCCTCCAGCTCCTCACTTGTTGTGGTCCGGCCAGCTGCCAGTGGGGTCACACTGAGCCTGGCCCTCTCCAGAGAGCTCAGCATGAGCCCCAGGTCCCATCCCTCCAGCCCACACTCCCTACCCCTCTAGCTCTGGGCCCCGCCCATCCAGCCCTGGGCCCTGCCCTTCCAGTCCCATCCCTCGCCCTCTCTAGCCCTGGGCCCCGCCCCTCCAGCTCCACCCCGCCGCCCTAGGCCTGGGCCCCGCCCCTCCAGCCCCCCGGACCTCCCTAGTTCTGGGCCCCGCCCCTCGAGCTCCACCCCGCCCCTCCAGCCCTGGGCCCCGCCCCTCCAGCCCCCTGGCCTCCCTAGCCCTGGGCCCCGCCCCTCGAGCTCCACCCCGCCCCTCCAGCCCTGGGTCCCGCCCCTCCAGCTCCGGCCCGGCCCCGCCCCTCAGCTCACTGATCTCCAGCTGCCTCTGAATGCGGCCCTTGCAGCGTTCGCGGTAGTCAGACTGCGTTGCATTGTACTCTGACATGACCTCCACAAACTTTCGCGACAGCGTGGAGTGCTGGGGGTCCGAGATGGGGGTGCAGGTGTCAGGTTCCAGAGAGAACCAGAGGCTCAGGTGCCCTCCCACCCATGAGTCCCAGCCTGCACCTGTGTCTTCCGGATCCTCAAGTCAGCTGAGGAGCGGTTCAGGCCTTCCTCCTGCTCAATACTCTGCTCGATGCCTGGGGGAACAGATGGCTGCTGGCCACACGCTGCCCACTTCGCCACTGCCCCCCGACCCACACACCCACATCTGGCTCCCCACCTGCTCTGCGGGGCCCTGTGTGGGCTGTGACTGGTGGGGTCAGGGAAGCACCAGGCGCTGATGGGAGGAGGGGCTTCTAAAGGCCCTCCAGCTGCAAAACGGGTGCCTGCAGTGCCTGGTGTGAGCACACACCCACAGACACCTGTGAGGCCTCAGGCACACCCCAAGCTGTGTTTGTGAGCACCTACTGTGTGCAAGGGCTGGTGGCTCAGGCCACCCTGTGTGTGCCTCTGTCCTCAGAGAGGCTGTGCACAAGAGGCCATGCCCAGAGTTGGGAGGGCCAGGTGGCCACAACCTGCAGGGCATGTGCCTGGGGCCTCAAGCATTCATGGGTGTGCACGTCTGTGTTCACATGAGCATACGGGGGCTTTTGCTCGAAACCAGAAGTGCTGGCCACTTCTTAGACCCTCTTGAACAGAAGTGAGGTGCAGTGGCAGAGTGGAGCACTCCCCTGATAAAGCCTCAGCCTCTGTGTCCGTAGGCCCAGCCAGGGCCTGGCACAAATGGGCCTGGCCAAGTAGCTGCTCAGTGAATGGGCACATGCTGCTGCCCTCATTAAGGAAAGCAAGATCCGGTGCAGCCCTCAGGGTTAGTGAGACCCCATGGGCTACACGGAGCAAGCAGGTCTAGAGGCCCCCCAACCACCCCCAGACAAGGCTGGGAGCCTGACTCACTCTTTAACTTGGAACGAACTTTGTTCGCTGTCTTCTTTATGTCGGACATGAGTTCTTCCAGCTCCTCCTTCGTCTCTGGGGAGGCAGAAGGGGCGGAGGTAGAGTCCCTGGGCTCCTTCCCTGCCTGCCATTCAGGCTCAGCCTCCCACACAAGGGGCTCGACGGGGGGCTCTGGGCAGACCCCGAATCTCCCCTCCTCCTCTGGCTAAGGCTCTGCCTGCCCCCCAATTCTGGGCCAGGGCCACACCAGCTGCAGCCTCACTCCTTCTTGTGCTGCCTTTCAAGGAGTCTCCCCTCCTCCGTCGCTGGCACCCCCACCCCCTGTAGATAACAGATGGGTTTAAATTTAAGGCAGAAATAATTGTGGAGCAGCTGGCGATGCTGGAGTTGGCTCGAGGAACACTGATTTGATACTTGCCTGAGTCAAAGGTGGGGGGTGCAGGCTCACCTGGCATTACCTGGCCCAGAAGGGTAAGCAGCCACCCAGTGGGCTGATGGGGCAGGAGGGAGAAGCCCCCCAAGCCAACATTCCCCAGAGTCACAGCCTCAAACACCCTGGGTGGGGCAGAACTTGTTCTGACCCAGAGCTGCTTCTCCCCAGGTGCTGAGCTCAGTGGAGTGTCCGGGTGGGGGGTGGATGGCCTGGGTGGGAGCTGGTGGAGAAGAGGGTCAAAGTGGTGGGTCCCTGGGGCACAGTGGCTCCTGGCGGTGGCAGGTAGCTGGGGCCCAGGAGAGGTGAAGCTGGGGGGAAGGCAGTGGCATAGTGTTTCTGGCCCTTCTTCCCTGAAGTTGGCCGAGCCCATAGGGGTGCCCAGTTGACCACCTACCCTAAGAGGGGCTGGCTGGCAACGTGGGACAACACTCAAGCCTCAGGGCATCCCCAGGACTCCCCCATGGGAAAAGCCCGACTGAGTTCTGACTGCCCTCTGCTCTCGCCTCTGGGGGTGGGGGTTTCTCCTAGAGGGCCCTGGGGAAGGGCGTTGACAGTGCTCTATCAGGAAGGCCCTAGATGGGGTCCCCTCCCAAATGGAGTGTGAGTGGGGTGGGGTGCGGAAGAGGGGTTCCGAGGAGCGGAGGAGGCGCCTCGTTCGTAAGAACAAAGGAAAACTCGGTTACCAGCTGCTCTGATGTCTCAGCCTCTTTTGCTCAGACCCAAAATAGCCCAGCCCGGATGGCGGCCCCCAGAGCAGGCAGAGCGAGCCTTAGCCCAGGAAAGCCCCCCACTCTCTGCTATCTCTTCTCGTGACTCCTCAGTAAGTCCGCTCCGCCTCTGCCCTGGACCCCCCCACCTGGGACCCCCTCCCTCGCTGAGAGCCTGGTACTCCACCAGGTCATGGGCGGTCATCCTGAACTGGTCCCTCTGACTGTGTTTGACATGGGGAAGAAGTGCAGATGGCATGGGGGACCCCCGAGAGGGAGCCACCGCTGATGCCCACCCACCTGCCAGCAGTTGGGAGGCCCCTCCCCTGACCTTTATAGGACTCTGTCCCTACCCCACAATCAATCACCTTCTGATGCTTAGCAAGAGTAACCCACACAGCAACCCAGATATATCTGGGCACAGACACGTGTCACCTGCTGCCATCCAAACATCAGACATCTCCAGGGAGAAGGGCAAAGTGTCCCCTTCCCTAAGTGGTCTCGCTCCTTCCTCGGCTCCCACCTGACCCGTTCTGCCTTCTGAGGGCCTGGCCCTGGCATCAGCTCAAGCACGCTGGGGGCTGTGGAAGGATTTATTCTGGGTTCTTGAAGATGCTAGTGGGCTTGGGGGTCAGGGCCATGGAGAGGGAGGCAGTGCTGGAGGCGAGATGATCCAACCATGAGCACCTGGGTGGCCAGGCCTCTCCTCCTGGAACACCTGGGGCGGGGACGAGGGGCCTGCATGCTTGGGGTCAGCCTGGCACGTTCGTGTAGTAACCACCATCTCAACAGGAATGGGTGCCGGGTCACAGGACCTGTCTGCGGAGTGGAATCTTGTGTGGAGGGAGAAGGGTGACTTCCTGGAGCCCTGAGAATGCCCGTTCCGGGGTACCACGTGGCTCCGCGCCAAGGCTGCCAGCTCTTTCCGGAAGCTGTGCCTGCTAGGCAGGCCTGCCCTCCCACAGCGCTGCGGAGCGGCCATCTGCTCCCCAGGAGGCGAGGGGCGGGGTGGGGCGGGGCGAGGCGAGGCCTGGCCTCCTATTGATCAGAGAAGGCTCCCTCTCTGCTTTCCACCTCCCAGAAGCCTAGGGCAGCAGCCAGCCCTGTCACCTTAGAAAGCCAGCTGACGCAGGGAGGGCGGGGCTGGCCACCTGACCCACCCAGGCCAGAGGAGGGCCACCCCTCCCACACCCAAGTCTTTGCATGAGACCCGGTCCCACGGCCACTGAAACGAGGCACTGACCCCTCAATGCCAGGCTGGGACAGCAGCTCCTGAGGCTTCTCGTGGACCCCGCCCAGCCTGGCCAGTCCAGGCCCCCCTCTGCCCACCAGCAATGGGGTTCTATGAGCGCCCCCTGGCAGGAGCCCCTTCCTGTAGGCCCATGGGGCCTGAAACCTGTGGCCCACACCCACACACTCACTCTCGTCGGGGTTGGGGGAGGCCAGGATGGCACTGTGCTTCCGCTTCACCTCCTCCACGTTCTCAGCGATCTTGTCAATGAAGCCCCGGATCTCCTCCACCTGCGGGCCAAGGCCAGAGTCAGGAGGAGAAAATGTGGGAGGGGCTTCTTGGGCCTAGGGCTTGGCCCAAGGAGGGCCAAGGTCAGAGCTCAGGGAGAGCAAGGGCCAGGCGTGGGAGTGGCTGCTCCCAGGTAAACTTCCGAGGTGGGGAGGAGGGGACCCCAAACTTTGCTCCATGCTGAGCTTCAATCTATTTGCCCTCAAAGTGCCTTCACTAGTTCACTAGTTGCTGTCGCTGGGCTGTGGAGTCAGGCACAGGGGCTGTGTAAGAGCCCAGGGCCTGGCTCAGAAGGGAGAGGTGGCCACCCAAGGTCTGGAAGTACATGGGGAGAGATGGGGTGTGCTGGCTCCCACCTGCTCAAAGAACTCATCCATGAAGCGGTCTCGGTCCACGGTGACGGTGACGTCATCATCATCATCGCTATCCTTGGCCTGCACAGGGTGGTGCACGTATGAATGGATCTGTGGTGGTGCCACTGGGCCCAAGGGGCCGGGGGTCCCCAACTGCACAGCATCTGGCACATGCAGGCGCACAGCGTGCAGCTCCATGGCCCGGCCCTTTCCCTTCCCTCCTGGGGGCCTCTGGGGAGGGACAAGAACAGGCCTGGCTGTGCCCTCAGCTGCTCACCGCAGTGAGAACAGGAGTGTTGCTGGAGACCCAGCAGCAGGAGAGAGGCCCTGCCTGTCAAGTGGGTCCCTGGGCCAAGTCTCGGCCTCAAGGCCAAGGACTCCCTCTCCTGCCTAGCTGCCTGCCCGCTCCATGCACCTGGCGAGGCCTCTGTCTGGCCCCCCTGGGTCCCCAGGCCTTGCCTGGGACAGCTTCCTGGAAGTCACACTCCCTACTGTCCCGGCCAGTGGTTTTCATGCAGGCAGAGCCCAGAGGCCCCAAGCTCCCTTCCCAGGGTGGGCCCTGCAGGGTGAGGCCTGCCCACTCTGTCCTGGTCCTGGGCACCACCAAACCCTGCTCCAGAGGAGGGATGGCTCAGACATGGGGCCGTCTCCATAGTACCCCGACAGGCCTGGGAGATACTGCCTGTGGGGGCGCTGCTGGGTGCAGCTTTGCCCACTCGGGCATCTGAGGAATCTTTCTCCCTGTCAGTCGGGGCGTTGGCCATTGGTCCTCCTTCCTTCCACCCCAGAGCTGGCCCTCGCAAGCACAAGGGGCTGGTCATGTTGCCACTTGGCTCAGGGCCTGTGTTAGGCCTCCGCCACAGGTGCGGGCCCCATGCTGCTGCCCCAGGAGCAGATGTACAAAAGCCACCCCCATCATGGGGCAGAGGTAATTACACCTCTGGCTGCCCAGTACGCTGGCCACGGTCGTTACTGTCTACCCCTGACATGTCGAGCCAACCAGGGTCAGCCCAATCTGCTGGCAAGGCCAAGGTCCCACTCCAGAGCCAAGGCAAGGATATCCAGGTGGCCTCCCTAGGGCAGGGACCGATACTGCTCAGCCTGGGGTTTAAGGCTCAGTCATTCTCAGCGCCCCCACAGGAACAGGCACTGGCCCCACCCTCTTGCCAGGACCCAGGCAGGCAGAGGTGGAGGGGCTGGGCACCAGCCGCAGCCGCAGCCGACACCGAGCAGCTTCCCGTCTGGGTCTGCCTGCTCTTCTGTGACATGGTTTCAGTGAGGTCTGGCCACAGGGAGGTGCAGAAAGGACAGGAAAGCAGACCGTGTTCTCTAAGGGGCTGTGTCGGGGGTCCACGGGCCCCCTCACCCCATCAAAGTGGGGACCAGCTGGGAGCTTTTCTGGAGGCGGCTCAGAGGGGCCTCACATCAAGAGCTCACACCTCCTTCCCCAGCAGCTGAAATAAATCCTAGTTCCCACTCCCCACAAGTGCCTGTGGCTGCACCAGGTGGCCACTCCTCCCCCATCAAGCCCCCTCCCCTGATCACAGAGAATCTAGGAGCCACAGTCACACTTTCAGACCATGCCAGGCCTACAAGTTGAGTCGGAGGAGCACTCCCTAGGGAAACTGAGGCAGAGCACAGCTTGGAGGAGCCCAGCTCCCCCTCCCAGACAGCCTGCCGGGTTGGGAAGTGGCCCCAGGAGTTCCTGCCATGCAGCACCCAGCCCTCTCTGTCTGGTCCCCAGAGGAGAGGGTAGATGAGAAAGGGTGGAAGGAGAATTTTCCAGCTCCGGCCACCCCTTTCTCTGGGGAAAGAGCTGGAAAATTCTCCTTGCAGCCTGCTGAGTGAGCCCCTGCCCTGCCCTCAGAGACTCCTGGCATCTGGGCTCGTGCTTCTCCTGGCCTCAGCTTGTCCATCTGAAAAACGAGGACATGTCTTCTCCAGGAGTGCAGCCGCGCCAACATGCTAGCTCGGCGGCCTCCCCAGCGAGCTGAAGGCTGGGCCTGGAAGTTTCCCCAACAGAGGCGGGCAGGGGAGGGAGTTGCCCACACCCTCCTCCAGACGTCCCACATCTAAGGGCAGAGCTGGGGGAGGGGAGAGCAGGCCAGGGTCTGCCTGGGGCACCCAGGATGGTGTCCACCCTGGAGGCGGCATTCAGAGTGGCCCCAAAGCCAGTCAGAGGAGGGTTTAGGGTCTGACCTCCCAGCCTTGGCCACACCCGCTGTGGCTCCACACAAAACCCAGAGGGGATGCTCCAAGGGGACCCTTTCTCACCAAGTCCTGCCACCTCTTCCTTCTCAGGACTTTTCACCCCCCTGCCCTACCACACCGCATCCCTAACTGTCTCCTGCCCTGCAATCCACCCACTGTGATTCCAGGAAGCTGACATTCCCCTCCTCCTTGGGTGCCACCTCCTTCCAGAAGCCTCCTCCCCCCCATCAGTGTCTCATGCCCACACACTATTCACATCCCTTATTGGAGCCACAGCTGCAGACTCGCAGGCCCTGCAAAGTCCTCCTGGCCTCAGTTTCCAGCCTCAGCTTGCATCCTCCTGTGATGGAGTACTCAGTAGACTTCCCAGGCAGCTCACCCACCCTGGGCAACCCCAATTGTTAGAAAGTCCTTCCCTGTCCTGTGGTTTGGCCCGAGGCCATAAAGAACCTGTTGGAGATGTGAAAGTAGCATCCATATCCCTGGGTTCCTCGACTTAAACATTCCTTCCCCTTCAGATCCTTCCCAGGGGTCCCAGATTGCAGCCCCTGCCCCAGGCTTGTTCCGCTCTGCCTCTGTCTTCTGCAGTATTGCACACAAACCCAATCTGCTGCTGACTGTGGTCTGAGCAGTGCCAAAGCTCTGACCCATTCCCTCCCTCTTTTTTTTTTTTTTGAGACATAGTCTCACTTTGTTTGCCCAGGCTAGAGTGAGTGCCGTGGCATCAGCCTAGCTCACAGCAACCTCAAACTCCTGGGCTCAAGCTATCCTCCTGCCTCAGCCTCCCAAGTAGCTGGGACTACAGGCATGCGCCACCATGCCCGGCTAATTTTTTCTATATATATATATTAGTTGGCCAATTAATTTCTTTCTATTTATAGTAGAGACGGGGCCTCGCTCTTGCTCAGGGTGGTTTTGAACTCCTGACCTCGAGCAATCCGCCCGCCTCGGCCTCCCAGAGTGCTGGGATTACAGGCGTGAGCCACTGCGCCCGGCCCCCTCCCTCTTTCTGTATGGTCTATCTCTATTAATGCAGCCAGAGATCATATAAGTGATCACTTAGCACTTCCTACCAAGAAAAGCCCCAAACCCTTTCCCACCATTGTCTATGCAACTGAATTTTGGGCTCAAGGAGGGACTTTTCTCCTGTTTTCAAGTCTTTTCTTTTTTCTATTTCTGTTTTTCAAGACAGGGTCTCACTTTGTCACCCAGACTGAAGAGTACAGTGGTGCAATCATAGCTCACCGCAGCCCGGAACTCCTGGGCTCAAGCGATCCTTTCACTTTGGCCTCCCAAGGAGCTGGGACTCCAGGCACATGCCACGCCCAGCTACTGTTTCATTTCTTCATTTGTTCTAATCCTTGTTTCAATTTGTGGGATCCTGATGACTCCTGACTCTGCTGCCCCGCAACCGCATCCATATCCAAGCCAGAGCCCTGTGGCACCCTTCTAGAGACATCCTCTAGATCAACTCAGACCTCACTGGAAACTGAATAAACTGACAAGGACGTAGGATGTCAGAGCCCCGCCCCCACCTTGTCCATCTCCCAACCCAGACACTCCTGACCAAAACGGAACTAGATAATGAGGTTAGCCTGGCATGCTGTCTTCCTGGTGTCTCGGGCTGGCCAGGGTGGACACTGTACACATGAACAAAGTGGGCACCCAGACTTGTGTTGAATGATTAGGGCCCCAGCTCCCGTGGGAATCTATCAATGCCCTCCAAGCAACAGTAATGGCTCCAGAACAGAGGCTGCAATGGAATTGAGGTCTTGGGAGGCTTTGGTGTGCAGGTGGCAGCCGGAGCTGTGGGACATTTACAAGCTCAAAGACCCAAATATCTTATGGCCAGATGCACCCAGATATCATATGGGCACTTTGCATGCCACCTGGCTCAAGCCAGGACCCACCTCTTTCTTCTCTGAACTCCCTGGCTCAGAACCCCGCTGTGTCCCAGGACACTGTAAATCAGAAACCTGGGGGCATCCACCCTCTTCCTCCTCCACTTCCATCCACCCAACATCCAGTGTGTCCTCAATTGGTGGTTTTCAAAGTGGCCTAGGACCAGAATCCCTTGGGGGGGACTTAAAAAACACAGCTTCCAGCATTCTACCCCAGAGAGACTGAATCAGACTAAATTAGTGAGGTTTTCTCTCAAAGCACTCTCACCCCCAGGGGTTGAGAACCACCAGTCTGGTCGCCCGCACCCTCTGACCTGCTGTCCCAGCTCTGGCCTCACCACCTCCAATCAGGAATGGAAGTTGGGAGAGCTGCCCTGGAGCCGGCAGTAAGAGGAGACCTTGCAGACCCACTGTACATGCGGAAGTGGGGCAGCCCGGTGGTCTCCCCTGGCTCAGGCTCCAGGATTCCAGGACACCTTCCTGGACTTAGGAGTCTGATTCCTCCAAGAGGCACAGAGGCCAGGCAGCCTCCAGGTCCCTCCCAGGGGAGGACGTCAGGCCAGCCAGCAGGGTTGATTCATAGCTGCTGAGCAGAGTTGCTGTTGTCTGCCTCGAGGGCTATTTTTTTCCCTTCCTCTCTTAAATGACTAATCAAAGTCAATATCACTAGTGCAGAGAGGCCCAGAGCTGAGTCAGGGGTGTGTGAGAGGCCAGTCTGGGTCTCCAGGAAAGAGGGCTCTCCAGTCCGATTCCCTCCCCCTGTCCCCACCCTCCAGGTCTGTGTACTCCCTACCCGCCTCCAACACCAGGTCCCTGCTCAGCAGAGCCTGCCCCTTCGCAGGGCCCCAGAGCGGCTCAGGGAGGCAGCTCCAGGTCCCTTTCTGGACCTCAGTTTTCTGATCTGTAAGATAGGAGGTTGGACTAGATGGTCCAGGAAGGCCATTCCATCTGCACTCAGGAGGAAAATGTGCCCAAATCCATCGTTTATTCTGGGAAACCTCAGGGAGGTAGCAGGAGGGAAGGAGGGAGACCCTGCCCTGTGCCCATTCATCCACCCTCCTTTCTGCTGCCCTGTGAGGCAGGTAACGCTGACTCCATTTTACAGATGAGAAAATGAGCAGAGAGACCAACCACCAGTCTCTTCCCAGCAATGAGAGAGAAGGGAACTGGCGGGCCAAGGGGGCACTGGGCTTCCCCATCAAGGCCTGCCCCGCTGCCCCAGTGAGCTGGCCCTGGTCTAGACGTGAGGGGGCCCCAGGGGCCCTGAGAGGCCAGGTATGGGGACTGCCAGCTGTTCTCTCCTAGCTGGGCATTCCCACCTCTCTGCCCTTCCTCAAGCTCACCCCTCTCTCCTATTCCATTCCAGCTTCTCCTTCGGGGACATCCCAAGTTCTCTTCTAGGTTCCAGCTGCCCCAACACCCCCTATTGCCTGTCTTCTTCCTTCGGCAGCAGGTCCCACGTGTCTGTCCCACATGGCTCAGCCGGGAGATAAATAGCATTCTGAGCCTAGGGAGTGGTAGGTCAGCTTTAGAGGCCCCAGGGAAGAAAATCAGGGAGGTCCCTGAGTTCAGGGGTGGAGGATGCTACATGCCAGGCTGGGGCTGTCTGGGGATGCCCTGTCCCAAAGCCCCCTTCCCAGCTGTGTAACCCTGGCCCAGTCTTTGCCCCTTAGGTTTCTCTGTCCCCCTGCACCCTGGGGTGGTCCTGCTGATCTCTGAGGGCCTGCTACAGTGGTGAGGCCCCCACTGGCCTCCAATGACCCCCTTCTCTCTCCCTCTGCAGAACGGGAAGCAGCAGTCTCACGAGAGGTGGGGGCTGGAGAGGGCTGGAGGGCTGGGCCTGGCCTGCAGAGCGCCGAGGAAACACGCCAGCTCCTTCCCCAAGTGTGACTTTTATAAATAAGCTCCCTTCGCCTCCCTTCCAAATGTGGTGGCGTTGGAAGAGGGGAGAAGGAGAAAGGAGAAGGAGGAGGAGGAGGGAGGGAGGGAGGGTTGGGGGTGGTGCACAGCCGCTGTCCCCAGCACCATCTCTGTCCATCCCAGCCAGCACTGGCCTCTTCATTCCTGGGGACTCTGGGCTGAAAATCCTCACTCCTGTGGTTCAAGGTCTCCCCCAAATGAGGAGTGAGTCAGGAGACCTGTGACCATGCCTCTCACCCTGAGAAACTGGGTTCTAGGTTTTCCTAGCTCCACTTTACAGACAAGAACCCCAGGCCCAGAGGGAAAGGGACTTGTGGGAATGGCAACCCCTCAAGGCTGACTATTCCACTCTACTGCTGTGGGCTCCTGCCAGCCGCCCCTCGAGGCTCCTTGAAACCCTTCATGGGCAGGACGTGGGCTCTGAATGCCCAGCTGGGGTGGGCAGGGTGGGAGAAGTCTAGAGAGGAAGCGTCAGACAGTTCAAAGCGAAGCCAAGTCTCACCATCTAAGGGACCACCCAGGCTAGTGTGTGTGTGTGTGTGTGTGTGTGTGTGTGTGAGAGAGAGAGAGAGAGAGAGACACACACACACACACAACCCACACTCTCCTGGGGGGCCCCAGTCCCAGCCAGGTCCAAGTCTGACCATCTTCAAGGACTAGGCAAAGCCCCTTTCCACCACCCCTTGTTCTACCAAGCAAGCCACTGATCCTCTGTGCCTCAGTTTCCCTTTCAGCAGAGGGAACAGAGGCTGACAAGCCAGATGATATCATCACTTGTAAGGAGCTGTTCCCCCCGTCACTTGGTCCCCACACATACCCTCCTCCGACCTACCAGGCACCCAAACATCAGCCAACACACCACACAGCCGTTCATCACCAAGATAACAGTCTTTCCCATTCAACCGAGCACAGGAAACTTGAGGGCAACCACAAGGGCTGGTGGGGGGAGCGTTTGGAGACCATATACCACATAAGGGACTATCTTCTTCCTTTGAAACCCTGTGGGGCTTACCCCAGGGGCTGGGCACTCAGCCAGGAACAACACAGGTCTGAGGCAGGGTGAGGGCTGTCATGCCGGGGCTGGAGGGAGGGTGGAGATGGAGGCAGGCCAGCACAGGCTGCCCACAGACAAGAGTGGTATGATGGGGGGAGACCCCGGCACCAACTCAGGAAGCCTCTGGGCACAGAAGACAAGCCATGCGGTCAAGAGCCCTAGACACTTGAAACTTTCCATATGAGGGGAATGAGGGCTCTAGCTCCAAGCTCTGTGGTAGGGGGAGGGATCTGGGAGCCACTGGGGCTCAGGGGACTGCGGTGCTCAGTGGGTGGGGCCTGCCAGCAGGGCAGTCAGTCAGGGGATCAGAAGAGGCTCACCCGGGTCTTGAGCCCTGCCCCCACAGGGAGGCTTCATTTCCTTCACTGCCCCCACAGGCCCCCAGGCTTGCTGTGGTTAAGGGCAGAGGCCAGGGGAAGGGGACCCTGTTAATGAGGAGCTGGCAGCAGGGGTCTCCGTCTGGGCTGGGGGGGTGGGCTCTGACTTGGAACCTTTGTGTATCCTCCTACTCCCCCCAAACCCCGCCCCAGGAGCCACACCCCAGGGGCTTCCTTGATATGGGTGGAAATATGTATTGATCCAGGTCAGAGTCAGACCACTGAACCCCGGAAGGGTCTGGAAAAGCTAGCCCGGGCTGCCAGAAGCCTGAAAGTGGACCGGGGACGGGTGTGACACCTCCCAGAGCCCGGGCGGGCACAGGATCCCGACCGCGAGCCACAGGTGACAGGAGCCACAGGTGACGGGGGCGGTGGGGCGCCCCGCGAGACGGCTCCCGCCGAGGAGGCCGCCCCCACCGACGGCCGGGTTCCGCAGCGCGCCCTGCAGCGGGTCTGGGCAGGGGGCCGCCCTTGGCCCGTTCCCACCGCGGTCCCGCCGTCTGTCTACACCGAGGCGGGACGGGAAGTCAGCGATGACGGACAGTGGGGGGACATAGACAGGACCTGCTCCGCGGGCGGGGGAGAGGTCAGGCTCTCCGTCCCGTCACCGAAACCGCATAATAACCCTCCGACCCCCCAAAACCAGAGGGCGCCGAAAAGTTTATCCAGGACCCCGGGCTCCAGCCACCAGCCCACGGGTCAACGCGGCCGAGCTCACGCGAGCCCGTGACCCCGAGTAGGTCCGAGGGGCGGGACCCGGACGGGGGTCGGGGTCCCCGGCTCGCACCGGTCCCTCCCGCCCGGCGGGGCCGCAGGGGCCGCCACCGCGCTCGCTGGCCCCGGGGGCCGGGCGGGAGTGTCCGGCGCGCTGGCGCGGGCGGCGGGCGGCCACGCGCCGGGGCCGGACTCACCGTGCGGAGCTCCTGGGTTCGGTCCTTCATGCTCCCGGGAGTGGCAGCGGCGCCGGCTGCAGCCGAGTGAGCCCCGCATGCGCGCGGCCGCCCGCGGCTGCGCAGCGCCCGCCCGGCCCCGCCCCGGCCCCCGGGACCCCGGCCCGGCCCAGCCTAGCCCGGCCACGCCCAGCGCCCTCCGGGACCCCGCCCCGGCCCCGCCCCACTCGAAGCTCTAGGGCCTCGTCCCCCTGCGTCCTCCATTGGTGACCCCTGCCCGGGATGGAGCCCCAGCCCCTCTGCACTCTGCCGCTCAGTATCCCTGTTCTGGACCCGGGCTCCTCACCCTCGGAGCCCTTCACATCCAGGGCATTTGCTGGAGGTTGCAGCTCCCTCGTAGGTCTCAGTGCCCCAGGGCCTCCAGCATCCCCGTGCAGTCCCCCAGTCCCCCAGCCAGGAACCTGCTCCAGAGAGTTCCAGCCTTGGCCCCCACCCTTCCCGCCTTCTCCCATCATCCCACCGAACTCAGGCTCTGCCCCCCTCTCCCCTGGGAGTTCTCAGTTCACAGGGCTGGATGCTGGGTGACCCCGCTTTTCCTATAGTTTCCCCTTCCCGTGGGGATGCAGGAACCCCTGTATCTTTGGGAAAGGGAGATTTAAGTTACATTGCCCTCTCCTTCCCTTTCCCCTGCGTCTCCAACCCTGAGCTCCAGCCCCAGGCCTCAGGTCCTGTTTTCTATCTAGAAGCTGGGGGCAGCTGATCCTGGGCCCAGCTTCCTCTGGGACTAATGGGAAGACCTTAGCAGTACCTGTGGAGGGGGGTGAGAGTGGAGGAGCAATGTTTCCTTTTAGGTCCCTGCCAGCATCCTGTTGCAACAGCAGTCACACACGCCCACCTCCCCACCACTCCCACTGTCCCCAGCTGTCCCTTCTATGCAGTGGCCCAGACCCTCTTGACCTCAAGCCAAGCACTCCCTCTGCTCCCTATCCCAGGCTGCCAAGGCATTGCTCTGGAGCCAGTCCAGCCCTGCCGCCCAGTGTGTCTGAGCCTGGCACATCTCCCAGACGACGGGCACAGGTTAGCTAGCTGGCAGCCAGGCTGGAGACATTGTTTCAGACTTCCCTTCTTCCCAGGAAAATCTAGCCCAAGATACTCGAATGTGTCCTGGCATGGAAGACAGCCACACCCTTTCCAGTTGTCCAGACTTCAACCCTGAGTGATGGTAGAGCAGGCATTGGTGGCATCTTATTTGACAGATGAGAAGCAAGCACCCCTCTGCTAGAGGGACTTGCGCAGGGTTTTGGGAACAAGTGGCAGGGGAGGCTGCCTGACCCTTGGCCTAGCGTTGTTTCCTGCATACAGAGTGAGTCAGCGGAGTGGGTGGCAGGGGCGCCCCCAGAGCTGGGTGTCTGGCCCTGCCGGGAGAGGGCAGAGCTCCTGCCCTCAGAGGCCCCGGTGGAATGCCAAGCATCAGTTATTGAGATGTATATTAAATGATAGCCTGAAAAATGAATAAAGGAATTAACGTGTGCCCTTTACCTTAAAGTCTGCTTTTCTGAATCTTACCCTCATTTAATCATTCATCCATCCATCAAACATTAAATGGGAAACCATGCACTGGCGCCACTGTTCTGCACTCAAGGTGTTCCCTGTGTAGTGGGGGAGACAGACATGATTTTAGCATGTAATGGAACCAGGGTGGCTTCTCAGGGGTGGTGACATTTGAGGAGGGAGCTGGAGGAGTGGAGTCACAGAAGGAAGGATGCTGGGGCAGGGCTGCGGGTGGGGAACACTCCACAGTGGGGTGCTCTGTCAGGAGAACCTCAGGGGCCTGTGTGACACTCAGGTGAGCACGGGTGGGCACAGGCAGGGGGTGAGTGAGGCCAGGGAGCGAGGCCTCGAATGCTAATTGTCATTGTGCAGAGCCCATGAAGGGGGCGCTAGTTGAGGGTCAGATTTTTCACTCGGTTAGTCAAAAGGTATTTAATTGAGCATCTGCTATGTTCCAACTCTTCTAGATACTGGGAATATGGCAGAAAACAAGACAGGCAAGTCCTTGCACTTGTGGAGTCCATGGTCTTCCATGGTCTAGTAGAGGAAAGATGATAAACAAATAACATATATAATGGTGATACATGTATGGAGAGGGTAAAGTAGGAAAGGATATAGGGACAACTGGATTTGAGAGGGGAATTCTAATTTCATGGAGGGCCTTGCCGAGAGGGCGACATTGAGTGACTCCCTGAAGGAGGTGAAGGATGAGCCATGCAGAAGGTGGGGAACAGCAGTCTGGGCAGAGGGAACAGCAGGTGCAGCCAGCATGATGGGGGGGGGGCGAGCCCAGCATATTGGCAACAGCAGAGAAGGCAAGGGAGGGGCAGGTCATGGGAGGCCTTGTAAGTGTCCTGTGTCGTTTAGTTTTCCCACTGAGTGGGTTGGAGCCCTAGGTGGGTTTTGAGCGGAGGAGGGATGGCATCCATTTTTGGCTAGAACAGGCTTGCTGTGGTTGCTGGGTTGACACTAGACCGACGGGGATGAGGGTGGAAGCTGGAGCATTATCTAGGAGGTCACAGCAATAACGCAGGTGGGAGACAGTGGTGGGCGGGGCAAAGGTGACAGCAGTGGCGGTGCTGAGAAATAGCCATACAGTGGATATATTTTAAAGACAGACCAACAAGGTTTACCAATGGAATGGAGGCGTGGGGTTGGGTGGGGGATGGGTGGGAGCAGGGGGACTGAGAAAGAGAGGAATTCAAGATGACTGGAGTCAAGATTTTTGACCTGAACAACGGGAAAGATGGTGCTGCCATTTGCAAAGATGAGGGAACCTGGAAGGGGGATGGGGAGCAGGGTGGGGTGGGGGTGAATGAGGAATTGGGATTTGAGCCCAATTGCCCACTAGGCAGTTCGATGGGGAGAGCAAGCAGACGGTTGCCTGTATGAGTCTGGAATTCACAGGGGTGTCCAGGCCAGAAGCAAAGATGTTTCTCACAGCAAGGGAAGAGGCCCCTCTGTAGCAGTGTAGAGGACAGCTGGACACTGCTGTGGTGACCAGGACAGACACTGTGACCATCCAAAGCAATGCAGGACCAGCCAGGCTGGAGGGAAGGGTCAAAGGCATTTGAGAGATTTTATTTACTATACCTTACTTCAATTATGAAAAGGACACATGTTTGTTGTAAAACACTGAAACAACAGACAGGTATTATGAAGCAGAAGCAACAGGCCATGGTGACGGGCCAGCCCCTTAGCTTCTGGCTTGGCGTCTGGAGGACAAGCCTGTTTTGGGGGGCGGGCGGGGAGTTCAGGCTGGGACACGGAGCATTTCAGGTGCCCGTCCCGACATCCGGAGTGAGTGCGGAGCCCCGGCTGGAGGCTTGGGCATCAGGAGTAGCCTGGCTTGGAGTAGAGTGGAGCCGTGGCCACAGTGCAGGGACTGTGTGTGTGTGTGTGTGTGTGTGTGTGTGTGTGTGTGCATGTCTGGGAGAAAAAACAAGGCCTGACAATGCTCCCGGACTGGCGAGGGACAGATGGAGACAGCTGGAAACATGGCAGGGGCTGAAATAGAAACTGTTGCACAAGAGGCTGTGGGTCCCCAGAGCAGCCACCTCTGGGACCACTTCGGGGGTTGGAGGTGTGGGTGTTTCAGTTGGGGCTTTAAAGGATGAGCAGGATTGGCCAGTGGAGAAGCGGGGAAAGGCATTCTGGGCCGAGGTACGCACAGAGATGGAGATTTATGAGAGAGCAGGTTCCTTCCCCGTGGCCACCAGCAGTCCCCACGACATCCCCGGCCCCGGCCCCACTCTTCGACGTAGAAAGTTGGTGAATCCTCGTCAGGAGAAATGCTCTAGAAAGTTCTGACCCTGCTCCAGTCAAAGGGGGGATCTTGGAGCCCCAGTTGGCATTCTGTCCCTGCACTCCCACTTGTTCAGGGCCGTGAGGTTTCCTTATTGTTCATAATTGATCCTGGTGCCTTGATGTGGCTTGTCACGTCCTTCGTGATCTGGTCCTGCTCCACCTCTCGGGGCTGCCTTCCCGCTACCCTGGGAACCAAAACGCCCCCCTGCTGCGGTGCCTTCAGCCCGAATGCCCGACGTGAGTTCTCCCGGCCACCCCCTCCTGCTTTCTTGTCCCCCTCCCCATGTGCCTGGCCATGACTGCTGGTCCTTCCCTCCCAGACATCACCTCCTCCAAGAATTTGTCCTTGAACACCCAATAACGAGTTTTGGGCTCCTTCTGTATGATCTCACAAAGACCCTGATTTTTCCTGACAACGGCACTCTTGTGTCCTGTTCGGGTATGGTCTGTGTTAGGTGTCTGTCCCGATTAGACCGGACTCGCCTGAAGGGTAGGAGCCAGGTCGTATTGATTGATTCTCCAAGGCTGGCGTGGAAAGTGCGTTTGCAGAGTGACAAACGCTTGTGAACTTGAACAAGCAGTGTTCCTGTAAGGGAGTACTGGGCAAACGCTGGGCGTTGGGGAGCTCCCACGGCCCCTGGACAGAGTTTGGGGTTTCCACCCCAGAGGCTGGGAAGGTGGAGGCCAGCCTCTGGCCCACTGGATCCTGATGTTGGGAGCTGCTGCCATCTGCTGGGCATGGCCAGTGTTGCCTTGCACCTGCGTGTGGTGGTTGGGATGAGGGTAGTCACCATCTGTCTTCCAGAAGCAGGACAATGATGGGGGAGTACAGGGGCTGTAGTGGTCTGGAAGAGGAAGAGGAGGGAGCTTTTGTGGAATTCAGGAACAGAATTGTTCCTGCAGCATAGTTGTGGAGGTGGGGCAGCCGTCCCAGGCTCCATGGCTGGAGTGTGAGTGTGAGTGTGTGTGTGTGCGCGCGCGCACACGCATATTGTTGTTGAGGTTCTCCTGTTGTTGGTTTCTCTTCTGGGAAGTCTGGCCCTGGCCTTTTTCTTTTCTTTTTATTTTATTTATTTATTTTTTTTTTGAGACAGAGTCTCACTCTGTTGCCGGGACTAGCGTGCCGTGGCGTCAGCCTAGCTCACAGCAACCTCAAACTCCTGGGCTCAAGCAATCCTCCTGCCTCAGCCTCCCGAGTAGCTGGGACTACAGGTGTGCACCACTACACCTGGCTATTTTTTTTTGTATATATGGAGGTCTCACTATGTTGCCCAGGTTGGTCTTAAACTCCTGGGTTCAAGCCATTCTCCTGCCTTGGACTCCCAAATTGCTGGGATTACAGGTGTGAGCCACTGCACCTGGTTTGGCCTGTTTATTGATTGTACAAAGCACTGGCCGTTGTGTGAGGTGCCTCATTTAACCCTTACCATGCCCCTTTAGGGAGGCCCGCAATTACTCCACTTCTCAGGCGAGGACTATGCAGCTGAGAGAGGTGCACACAGTTGTAAGGGTTGGGTGACCTGCTGTGGAGGCTGCCCAGCCCTGCCAATTCCCACTGTTTTGATCACAAAGTGCAGCCCCCTATACAAGTGGCAGCTGTCTCCCTCACCCCCCAGTCCACTTTCCCCTTCCCTAGGCCTCGGCTCAGCCATCCTAGCGGAGGAGGAGAGGAGGGAGATGTGGGCAGTTGCAGTCGGGGAACCACCCTACTACTTAGCGTGTGCCGAGATAGTGATCCCGGATGACCTGAATGTAAGTTTCTTTTCTCCTTTTCCCAGTGAGAAGATTAAAAGAAAAGAAATATGGTCCTATATTCTAATTTAAACTTTCAGAGATGTAGATGAATAATTGACTCCCTACTTATAATACTTAGTTAAAATATTTAACACTTAAACATTTAAAATCCTGTATTTTAAAGAATAATTTTATTTGGAAGCAATGCTTCTCCACTCTCAGGGTTTGTTAAATCTCATCCAAACCCTTCACTTGCACTTCTGCCTCCCATTGTCATTGTCACCATCATGTGTCATCCTTAGGGCCCCCTTTGAGTTCCCTAACACAGTTTTCTCCGACACATCTTCACTTTTGGTTGGAAATACAGCACTTTTTGAAGCCGTGAATGATGCTGTCACTGAAAATATTATTCCAAGTCATGGGAGTGATTAGGATGGTTGTTTTTCATCCAAATAGTAGGTGTATATTTGTGATCTCCTTAAGGCAACCACAGAATTATGTAACATGGCAATCACCTCTTATTCCTTCCTCGTTCCCTTTTCCTGCTCGATTCTTCTCCACAGCACTTCTTACCATGTGATACACTTGTTAAATCTGTTCATTGTCTCCCCTCACTAGAATGTGAGCTCCAAGAGGTCAGGGAATTTCATCTGTCTTGTGTCCACCACCTGTAAACATGCCTAGAACATTGTAGGTGCTCAAACAAATATTTGTGGCATGAATAAATGAATGACTGTAAAGCTCCTAGAAATGTTTGCTAGTCCAGTGGCAGCCGGGTCATGCATGAGGAATGGCACTGGAGTTGGGTAGCCCTGCAGAAGCCAAGTCCGAATGAGGAGGGCATCTAAATCAGGGGGAGCCCCCGCTGTTGGGGATTAGCTACATACAGGGGGTATGTAACTAACACAAGTTATGGAGCAGATTTGAGGACAATAGGAGGTACGTTTCTCACTGTTGGGGAAAGGCTAGGATATACCTTCTGCTGTTGGACTGGAACTGAAGGTCTAAATGTAAACTTTTTCCCCCAATTTATGTAGACAAAGAAATAAACATAGATGTATATGTTTATGTGTGTGTCCACTGAGTTGGCCTGGAGTAAGATGACCCTAATTGCAACAAACAAACCTAACACCCAGTTGGTTTCCAAATACTAGTCCCCACTAAAAGGAAACTAGGTATCCTTGAATGGCTAATTCCAGGGCTGGGGCAAGGAAAAAGATGAGCCTATTAAAATACTTTGACAGAGAAAGAAAGGAAGTGTTCAAAGAACAATAGGGCGTGTCCAAACGATGAGAGGCCGGCATGGGCATCAAAATAAATGATAGGAATGGACCAAAATCCATGGAATAAAATAGGAAACCACAAGTCCACCTGATATAAGTAGATGAACAAATAAATGTGGGTTAAAGTTCTTTACAATAGAATGCCAGCTAATAAATGTAGAATAAATGATGAAATTAGAAAACTGCCATTTGCAAACCATCATAATAATCATTCATTTGGGCAACAAACATCAGTGGATGCTGGAACCTGCAGGTGAAAAGTGGAATGAGGAAAAGGATGTTTCATAGTCTCAAAGCATCTCCCCTTCCTTAATTAAGCATCTAAATCAAGTGATCAACATTAATACTACCAGCCATGGTTCTAATTGGCATTGGCTACAATGAGGCGAACACAGCATCATTTTTGTGGCATCACTGCCCAAAATGCATTACAGTAGCCTAATCACAAGGAACGACTGGACAAACCCAAATAGAAGGACAGTCTGCAAAATAACTTCCCTGTAATCCTGAGAAACATCAAGGTCATGAAACTCAAAGGCTGCAAACTGTTCTAGATTGAGGGAGACGAGAAATGCGACAACTGAGTACAGTGTTTGATAACATATTAGATTTATTTTTACTTTAAAAGGTTATTATATTTTTGGACATTGACGAGCAGTTTGAATTGTTTCAAAATAAAAAGTTAAATGCCTGGCAAGAGCGTTGGCCCTTCTCCGGGCCGACTCCTGGTGGCCTGCAGCACGGATCTTGGACGAGCTCTTGAGGAACCCCCACTGTCTGCCTAGGTGTGAAGGGCCTTTGTGCTCCCACTGCCCCCGGACCCCTGCCACCCTTTTATGATTATATCTATGCTTCATTCCTGCTAGCTCCAAGGTCCCTGAGAGCAGGGGTCCCGTCTGGGCCCTGACACAGAGGAGCTTCTCAGAACACATTGAATGAATCTCAACAAAGAGGGTATATTTGGGGTACAACTCAAGCCCATCTCTTCATTGGGGGTTCAATTAAAGAAACTGTCAAGCCCGGCTGGTGGGGGCACACCTGGCTGAGTGGGGCTCATCATTGCAAGGGTCTTCTGGGGGGCCTTGCAGGAAGCATTTACTGTTTTGGGCTGGGTTGAGGCCATAATCCTCAAGACATAACCTTGCTGAAAAAGCCTCTCGAGGGAGAAAATTCCCTTTTACACATTCATGTTACTGGTGTACTCAGAGTGCCTGTGGAAGGTGGCGATCACCTTGAGGGAGGCGTGGGATACTGAGAAACCCGAGGGCACAGTAGACCTACCTGTGCTCTTGGATCAGAAAGGTGGGAATACTACAGGTATTATGAGCAATACTGTAGGGAACATGGGTATTCAAGTTGTTAGGACAGGCTGAGCACGGTGGCTCACGCCTGTAATCCTAGCATTCTGGGAGGGTGAGGCAGGAAGATCGCTTGAGGTCAGGAATTTGAGACCAGCCTGAGCAAGAGCAAGACCCTGTCTCTACAAAAAACAGAAAAATCAGCCCAGCATGGTGGCACTCACCTGTAGTCCCAGCTACGAGGGAGGCTGAGGCAGGAGGATCGCCTGAGCTGAGTTTGAGATTGCAGCGATCTATGATGATGCCACTGCACTCTATCTTGGGGAGTGAGACTGTCTCAAAAAACAAAAAAAGATGTTAGGATGAATTTGCCAGGAATAAACTTTTTTTCTTGCTTTCTGATGAGGTGAGGTTTGTTTTTTTTTTTAGAGACAGTATCTCTTGGTCACCCCAGGTAGAGTGCAAGTAGTGTCATCACAGCTCGCTGCATCCTCAAACTCCTGGGCTCAAGCGATCCTTCTGCCTCAGCCTCACGAGTAGCTGGGACTACAGGCATGTGCCACCATGCCTGGCTAATTTTTCTATTTTTTGTAGAGATGGGGTCTTGCTCTTGCTCAGGCTGGTCTGGAACTCCTGGCCTCAAGTGATCCTCCCACCTCAATCTCCCAGAGTGGTAGGATTATAGGTGTGAGCCAGTGCACCCGGCCACAATTATAGTTGTATGTATGGATGATGCCATTCAAGGAACCACGATGCCGACCCTTCAGGATGGGGGCTGGGTCACCTAGTATCTCTCAGCATGGCAACAGTATGGGGCCAAGTCCTGGCTCTGTCCCTCCTTTCACATCACAGGCTATGGGCAGAGCACCCCCTGGGGTAGAAGGAGGCCTATGACTGGGCTGGAAGGGGCCAAGTTTGCTGTTGGCCTGGCCAGAGGCTTCCAGGATGCAGATGGCCTCCTCTTCTGGGCTGGCCTGCTGCAGGCGGGGCTTGCCAGGGAGTGCCTTGCTTGGAAGGGAGGGCAAAGGGCCTTGTAGTTCATTTGCCCCACCCTGCTGACAACACTCCCAAGTCACCAGGCCACTCTTTGTCCGCCGCCCTCGAGGGGTAAGTGTCCTTCTGAATCTACCTACCTTGTCCTTTCCTGAAGAGCTGGTGAGAAATCCTTTCCTCCTTGGGGGTCCAAACACCCTGCCTAGTCTGCTTGCCTTGAGGCCAGGCAGGGGCCACACCTGCCACCTCCTCTGCCTGGCCCAGGTCCTCCTGCTCTACTTCGCAGAGGTCCCTGAGACTGGGGCACTGGGGGCAGGTTCGGAACACCTTGGCCCCCTCCCTTCCTGACATCACCATCAGGGCCAAGGCCAGGCGGAAGGGCCCAGAGTGGGACACCTCATCCACGCAAACCCGAGATCACTGCCCTCTCTTTTGCCACAATACAACAGAGCCCAGAATCCCAAGTGGCTGGAGCACTGGGGGACAGCCAGACACAGCTCTCCTTGGACCAAGTTCTCCAGGAGCGGGATGAAGCCATTGCCAAGTGAGAGGAAGCTGCTTGCGGGGGACTGAGAGGGTGGCAGAGGGCTCCCTCCCTGGGCCTTGCTCTGCTGGAGGAGGGGAGGGGAAGTTGGGCATTCCGGAAGGAAAGGCACAAACACCTGGCCTGTCACCAAGGCAGGAGTTGTGGCCACACCTGTCTATCCTGAGGGCCCAAGCCTCAGGCGGCTCTCCCTGCCACCTGCAGGAAGCGGGCAGTGGAGGCCGAGCTGGACACATGCAAAGCTAGGCTGCGCGCTGTGGAGGCCCAGCTGCTGGAGGTCCTGGCAGAGAAACTGAGACTGAGGCAGGAGGTGGAGGCCTGGGAGGTAGGGTGGGAATGCCAACAGGGCCTGGGAGGAGTGGGGAGGAGGCCACAGGATTGGCCTTGAGCCTGCTTTCCTGCCCGCAGGAGGACATGCAGCAGCTGGTGCGGCAGCGGGTGCAGAGTCAGCTGCAGAGAGAGTCCAGGGGTGCTCTGGGAGCCCATGCAGACCCTGGAGCCACCAGGACCCCCTGGGTCAAATTCCCTTGGGGTCAGGGACGTTGGTGGTGAGAGCTCAGCCTGGACCTCTGGGAGCAGTGTCTTTATTCATTAAAGTCTGAGGTCTGATCACCCCCACACCCTCGTGCCCTTAGTGCCCGCCTGAGTCCTTCTGTGCCCAATTGCCGAGCAGGCCGCAGGGACTCGAAGCCTGGGATTTCATGCCTCTCTTGCCAGCAAGTCTTAGACCAGGAAGCCTCGGATGGCAGCCACGAAGTCCTGCGGGCGGTCGGTGTGGACCCAGTGGCCAGCGTTAGGCACAGTCTGCATCTGGGCCCGAGGAAAGAGCCGCATGATCTCAGGGTGGTGGCCAGGACTGTGCACCGCAGGGAAGGCCGTCGAGAAGGAGTACAAGTGGGACGAGGGGGAGAGAGAGAAAAGCAGAGGCAGGGTGGGGAGAGATAGAGAACCACATGAGGCCTCATGCCCAGTGATATTTCTGGGCTCTCAGGAGCCCCCTGCCTATACCCAAGCCACCCCAGGCAGGCTCCCCAGGCTGGGGGTGGGTGAGTAAGGCATGCCCCTCCCACTGCCCAGGCTGGCTTACTGCACGTATTTGGAGTTTTCACCGAGGAGGAAGAGGGTTGGGCCAGGGTAGGATTCCTGTTGTAGTGGGAAAGCCATGATCTTGTCCAGGTGCTGGACCAAGGCATCCAAGTTCACCCTCCATGTGAAGCGCCCACCTACCTCCACCAGGTTAGTGAGCAGGAACTTCCGCACGGCCATGTCCTATGGGGGTCTGGCAGTTAGGGGGGGGGGGTCCTTGTGAGGCCTGGGTCCACCACTCTTCCCTTGACAGGTCCCAGTCTAGAGCACTATCTGGGGGCTTGGGTGCATCACCTGGACAACAGAGCTGAGCTGCCCATCGGCCAGTTTTCGGGCGCAGGAGCGGGGCACCTCATCTGGGATGTCTATGGCCCTCATGGCTGCCATATAGGCTTCGAAGTTTGAAGTGGATGTGGTCTCCACTGGGCTGATGTCCACAGCAACCAGACGTTCCACCAGCTCTGGCTGTGGAAAAGAACTGGACTGGGGACCAGTCTCAGGGCAGACACAGTGGGTCTCAGGCACACTTTCCAGAGCCTGAACTTGGCCATCCAAGGCTTGTTTGAGTCCTAGGTATCATGCTGAGCACTCAGGGTGTACACTAGATGGGAGGAGGCCCCAGACAGGGGTGGCTCACCCTTTGTAGTGACAGCAGCATGGCTGTCTTTCCTCCCATGCTGTGGCCAACGAGGACACAGGGCACCAGGCCCAGCTGGGGCAGGAGGCCCTGCAGGTCCTGGCTCATGGCTTCGTAGCTCATGTCCGGGCTGTGGGGGCTGTCACCATGGTTCCGAGCATCCACTGTCAGCACCTGGGGAATGGGGTGAGACAGGGCAGTGCTGGCATCCACTACTGGGTGTGGATGGCTGAAGGACTGGTAGGGACTGCAGGTTGGGGGTGTTACTGAGCCTGGGGACAGTTACTGAAGAGAGGGAGGGCCCAGATGCCGAGAGGACCCAGTTCCCAGGCCTAGGAAGCCCAGATGAAGAATCTGGGGCCACTGTGCCAGAGATGAGGAAGGCCCAAGGGGTGTGACTATGTCTCTGAAGATTAGTCCTGACTGGAAGGGAAATCCCAGGGAAAGCCAAGAAGGAGACTCTAAGAATTTCCAACACTTGGAGCACAAAAGAATGGGGCTGCCATAGAGGCGGTGAGCTCGCTGTCATCCCTGGTGAACAGGCTGGGGCTGGCACCTTCATGGGCAGGGTGTTGGCCCCTAGGCATTGGCCAGCCAAGCCTAGCTTAGTGTGGAGCAGACAAACGGGGATCTATACCATGAATGAAGATGGCAACATGAGGGAATGGATGGGGGTCTAGCTAGGGCCTGGGTCTGCCTGTGAGGCCACCACCCTTGGAAGAACTTATTTCATTTCTAACGTGGAGTTACCTTGGCTGAAACTGGCCACCCCTCCTCTGTGGGGGCCCAGAAGCGAGTGCCCCTCCCGGTCTCCTCCTAGGCCCCGCCCACTGAGGTTCCCCCCCCCCCTGTAATCCGCCCCACCCGGAAGCTCACCCTTCGGCCTGTCTGTTGGGCCAAGGCCTTGGCGATAGACTTGAAGTTAGTTTTGCTGCCTAAGAGCCCATGCAGAAAGACGATGGCCGGGAGAGCTGCCTCCCCGTCCAGAAGACTGTAGGAAAGCGGCAGCGGCCTGGCGGGAGGGGACAAGGACGGGGGCAGGGCCTGAGCGGGGGGAGGGGGAAGGGACGTGGGGGCAGAGTCCTGGGAGGGCGGGCCCGAGGTAGTGAGGTGGGGCTGTAGGGGCCAGGCGGGAGGGCGAGGAGTGGAGGACGGCCTCCCGCCCGGCGCCCTTGAACTGACCTCGGGTCGGCGCCCTCTCGGCTGCCACTGCTGCTGGGTGCGACGGGCACCCTGGAGAAGCTGGAACTCGGGGGACCGAGCCCCCCATGGGGGAGCCTCCAGGCTCGGGCCCAGCGGAGCATGCCTGCAGCCGCCACTGGAGTGCGCCTCACCGGGGATGTCCTGCCCACGCCCCGCCTCCCGCCTCTGCGCGGAGCCCCGCCCACTTCCGACCGGAGCTCTACCCTCTCCCCGCCCCTGTCCCGTTTCCTTACGTAATCCCAGAGACCTGTGCGTCCCCACCTCCGGCCCCGCCCCTTACGCCGTGCGCAATCCCCGCAGGCCCCACGCCCGCCGCCCCGAGCGCCGCACCTGGCACGCTCTGGGCGGGGCCACCCCCAGCTGTGGCCCAGTCCCTCGCGGAGCGCAACTCAGCCCCGCCCGGTGCAGAATCCTCGCGGGGAGTCGGGTCCACGCCGCTCCGGCTGTCCTCGGTTCCCGGCTCGAGCTCTGGGCGGCCTCCGGGCAGGTCCTTGGCCAGCCGAGGAGGGCCTGCGTTGGCCCGTGCCCTGCTGGCTCGCTCCCCGGCCCTCAGTCACCGCCCTGGGCGGGTGCCAGACTCTCTGTGCCTCGGGCTCGGGCTAGAGGCGCCAGGAGTGGCTCTTGTCGTTGGAGCGCCAGCTTGGTGGCGCGGTGCTCCACAGCGGGGCGCCCAGCCAGGCCGGATGGAGCGCGGGACCTGGACCCATCCTGTAGTCGTGGACTCTAGAAAGAGCTAGGTGGGACTGTAAAGGTCCCCCTCCAAAACCCTCCGTCCCCTTTACAAGCGGGGAAACTGAGGTGCAGAGAGGGTAGATGAGGCAGAACCAGAGTCTCTGTCTGGTCGTCTGGTCGTGTTGCGAGTCAAAGTGGGAAACTAGCAGTTTGTACTCTTGCAGACATTTGCTGGGCTGACCTGAAATGGCTCAGATCAGCTCTCCACCATTTCTCTTTTTCAGCAGAGAAAAAAACAATCCTCCCAACCCCGGAACTTGGCACATCTTTCGCAGAGTCACCTCCCTTGGGAACCCTGCCCCGCTGCTGTCTCCTCTCCCTAGTGTATGGTAGCGGTGGTGGCTTCGTTTCGCGTCTCAGTTCCACTGCATTCCATCCTTCCGCAGTTGCAAGAGTAAGCTGCTCTTTCTGCAGCTGATTTAATCTCGGTGAGAAAAGAACTTTTATCTGAGGAATGTGAGTCTTTTTAAGTTATCAAGCCCAGAAAGACAGACATTCAAATGAGACAACAATCACGTCCTACACCCCTTTGAGGTATGTATTCATCTCTTGAAACTGCTGCTGTTGCCGCACACAGCTAGCTATAAATTAACCTAACCGTGCTGCACCTCACTAAAACCCACACCCTATAGCTTAACAATATATATAGCTATCACTAATCAGTATTATTTCTGCAAACCAATGATACTTCTTTTTTTTTTTTTTTTTTTTGAGACAGAGTCTCGCTTTGTTGCCCAGGCTAGAGTGAGTGCGGTGGCGTCAGCCTAGCTCACAGCAACCTCAAACTCCTGGGCTCAAGCAATCCTACTGCCTCAGCCTCCTGAGTAGCTGGGACTACAGGCACGTGCCACCATGCCCGGCTAATTTTATATATATATATATATATATATTAGTTGGCCAATTAATTTCTTTCTATTTTTATAGTAGAGACAGGGTCTCGCTCAGGCTGGTTTTGAACTCCTGACCTTGAGCAATCCGCCCGCCTCGGCCTCCCAGAGTGCTAGGATTACAAGCGTGAGCCACCGCGCCTGGCCCAATGATACTTCTTGACAAACAACTTTGTATCAGTCCACTGCCTGTCCACCTTTATCACCTTTAAAAACCTGCCTGTAACCAAGCCCAAACAGAGCTCATCCCAAGGTGACTTGTGTCTGAGTTTTCTAGGCAGCTGTTCTCACTTTTGCTCAAGTAATCTCTTCAAATTATATTTTGTGCCTCAGCCTCTTCCTTTTAAATCAACGATGGCATTCTTCTGCTCAAAAGCCCTCAGGATTCCAAATGGTTAATTTTTTTAAAAAAAGCCTTCAGGGACTTTCCATTGGAACTTCACCACAGCATTCCAAACCTTCTCCTGTCTGGTCTGCTCCTACCTCTTCCCACCTGTACACTCCATTCTCATGCTCCTCCACCAGGAACCCTGCCTGTACGTCTTCCCCCATCACCATCCCCTGCTGGGTACTGTGTCTGATACCCAGTTGCCCAGAGTCCTAGACATCTTTTAAGGCCCAGTGTAACTGCCACCTCCTCCTCAAGCCTTCCCAGATTTCCTGAGTTGAAGCTACTCTCATCTTCCCTACATTCTCCAAGCATTTGTCAGTGTTTCCTGTGTAGTATTATAGGATTGGCCTTCCCTGTGTCCACCGTAGGCTGATAGAGAACCGGAGCTACATTTTGTTCATCTGGTGCAAAGTAATCTTACTGAATAATCATAGAGAGGTTCAGGGCACTAGCGAATGCTTAGGTGAAGGTTCAGCTGGTGGCTGGCTGGGTTAGTGCCCCCTCCAGGAGGTGACACCTGGGCCAGCCAGCGACACAGCTCCTCCCCTTAGAGCTGTCCTGATGCAGTCAAGGACCAGTAGGGTGTGTCCTAACTCCAGAACTCATCTCCTTGCCTAATGGGACTGGGCAGGTGTTGTGCTCTAATTTGAGGATCGAATTAGAGTCCCTTGGGATCACAGGGGACTCTAAACACACCAGGGGGTATGATAATTTGTTTCCAGCATAGTCATTAGGAGGGGTATGAGGACACCTGAGCCCTTGATGGTGGCTGGTTTGAGGCCTGGGAGGGGTCCTGGGAGGATGTTGTTCTAGAATTGGCAGGTGAAGGGAAGAGGGTTACTGGTTCAGAAGGACAGTATTTCAAGGTGGTTTCAAACAGCTCCCTGCCACCCCTACCCCCAGCCTACTTGTCTAGTCAGGTCACCTAAGCCTGGCCCACCACCCTAGACCATCTAGGAGCCAAGGAGCCCCATGTCTAGGGACAGAAGCAGCCTTTAGAAATCTACTCAGAGTCCTGGGCCCCAACCCTGTCACGTGGCTGGTTAGGGCCAGGCCTGGCAAGCAGAAAAACCAGTTGGCTTGAGGTTTCCACTTGAACACTCCGGAGAAAGTGGTGGGGGCAGGGGACAGGTTGTTGCTATCTGGGAAGGACTCTGGTGTTGGTGTCTTAGGGCGGGGTCATCCTGGAGGCTGCCTGCGTTTCCCAGCTTACTGGGGACAGGTCAGTGCTGTTGGTTGGGGAGGGTCCCCCTCGGGGGAGTGTCAAGCCACCTTCTGGAGCCCTTGGTGTGCTGAAGTGCAGGTGGGAGGAGAAATGGTGGCCCCTCTGCGGGAAGGTGGAGTCTACACTTCCTGGGAAGTGGGAGGGCACCGTCCTTATTTTGGTGATGAGGAGGATGAAGTAACCCAGCTCCAAGTCACTCAGCCAGTGCGTGCCCCAGCCCAGATTCCTGCCTAGATTTCTTCTTTTGCTGACTCCTAGTGCAGTGCTCCCGGTATTTTGTCAACACCCTTTAGACCCGGGACCTAGGGCTAAAGGGGTGGGGCCTGCGGCAGCAGGGAGACTGCGCCCTGGTGGCGGTGGCGTAGAATGGGTTAAGGCGGGGAGGTGGTAGGTGTCCCACAGCCGCACCTGGCCCAGTATCGGTCACGTGGCCAGGGTTTCACCTGCCCCGCTGAGCAGGGACAATCAGGCCGCTTGTTTTGTGGCTGGTCGCCATGGTGACAGGAGCGTGCTAGGGGAGGTCACCAGGGCAAATTCCTGCCAGCCCGTCAGGTGGAGCTGGGGTGTCAGGCGTGCTGGAGCCTGTCGGGGTTCCTGGAAGACCCCTGAAGGTTTCCCGTGGGGCTGTCCCCAGGGGTCCCCCTGCGTGACTCCCCGGCCAACCTCCTTCCATCCCCACCCCCCTCACCGGGCTTGTCTCTTCCCAGATTTTGAACCTGAGTTTATTAAGCCGCCAGGTCTTTCACGTACTTGATCTTGTTTAATCTGCACAGCAGCCTTTCCCACGTGGGAAGCGTAATCCTCGCGGTCTGTTACCTGGTGGGGCTCCCCCACGGCTCACTGAGCACTTGGAGAGCAGGCGCTCCTTCCTGCCTTGCCTCAGCTGCCTGCCAGTCACCTTCCTAGACACAGCCAGGAACAAAGCAAATGAATAAACCATACAGCAATGCATTGTGTGGAGTATTTACTTTCTTCAGAGCAGGTTAGGGAGGCCTCTGGGGACCGTCCCTAGAAGGCGGGGACAGCACATGATCATCCTGTAGCTCTTGTTTCAAGAACACCTCCAGGGGCTCTGACTGCCACCTGTTTGCCCCACCGGCACCTCCTCCCTACCAAGCCTTCCCACCAAGTCCATAGATTCTTCTCCTGTTTTCATCTGCTCCTCTGCTCCCACAGGCTCTGTGTCAGCAATGGTTGACAACTTTTTTTTTGCCTCCAGACTCATGTGTCCCTCAGGAGCAGTCTCATCACACACACAGATTCTTAAAGTGTGCAGGGGGCGGGGCGCAGTGGCTCACACCTGTAATCTCAGCACTATGGGAGGCTCAGGTGGGAGGGTTCTTTGAGGCCAGGAGCTTGAGACCAGCCTGGGCAACATAGTGAGACCCCTGTCTCTACAAAAAAATTAAAAAATTAGGTGGGTATGGTGGTGTGCACCTGTAGCCCCAACTACTTGGGAGACTGGGCAGGAGGATGGGTTGAGCCCAGGAGTTAGAGGTTATAGCAACAGAGCAAGACTCTGTCTCTAAAATAAATAAATACATTTTAAAAAGCGGGCAGGATGAGGACACTCCCTTTTGGAGTGGATGGTAAAGGAAGTCTATGTAGTTTGAAACCCAGAAACCTGTACTGCATTTGAGAAACACTAACTTTGCAGGATGCAGTCCAGTCTCTTCGGTCTGCATTTTGGAGCCTTTATTTATTGAGCACTTTCTATGGCATGCTGGAGAGAGCCCAGATCAATTCACAGACCTGATAGATACTAATGTATAATCCACACACTGAGTAAATAAGCAAAAGAAAATGAGAACAGAAAACCAAAGAATCGTTCCCTTTCAAATCCTTTTTTATTTTTAATTAAAAAAAATATTTTTTTAGAGACAAGGTGTTGCTCTTTTGCTGAGGCTGGGGTGCAGTGGCATACCTTGAACTCCTGG